TGGTAAAATAATTTTTTGTCCTTGCTTGAAATTTATTTATTGCGTTTAGTTATTTTTACCAACAGTTAGAAAAGTCCCAGAACACCTTGTAATACTTCAACCATGATTTCCTTATGGGTAGAATGTACTCTCTTGATTTCCAATATTCTACAGGAAGTAGCTGTTTAAATTTTAAATGAAGCTTGTTGTCTTACCATATTGAATGCCTGTGGCACAACTCCAGAACAAATTTTTTTGTCCAATCCTTTTTCGGATATATTTCTGATTCATAATTAAACAAGGGATCAGTTTCTTCCTTTCTATTTCATTCTCTTTACGAGTAGTTTTATAATGATAAGTAACGATATAGACCGTTATCAGGTAAATTCGTGTGGGGGCTTTGCAGGCTTTGAGTTCGTTATTATTTTTGCAACTTTCCCTATCCACCTCCTAAATTGCATCTTTTTTGAGGCTATTTTTATACTTATCCTATTAATTTAGAACCCGGATTTTTTTGGACTAACATTGGGGTTGATTTCATTGACTTCAAGACTTTCATATGCCATTTTATTTCTGAATAATGGTATCAGCATAATGCGTCTTTTTTTATCTTTTCATAGTAAATAATCTGTAGTGATTCATTAGTTCTGTTATCTAAGACAACTGACGATATATTAGATATTATCAGTTGTTTTCTTTTAAGAGATGCTCTAGAATGAAACCATTTTCTTCTGCTTCTTCATTTTTTTAACAGATTTCTTATCCCTTTGATTTCATTCATTTTTGGAGCTTTTTATTTTCTGCGATACTCTGCTAAGCTGTACACTAGCTTTACACTTTTCAAGACTCACTGTGAAGCTTTGCCAATCAGTAAATTTGTTTGTCGTCAACGTGGGATTATTTTCTTTTTGTATAACGTTCTCACTCAGTGTTAATAAAATCGCTTAGTAATTAGAAGGACAAGTTTTAACGCGCTTCAATGCGGAAATGAAAACATCAATTAGATCAAAAGGCTGATAATAGCATCTGTTAGGGTAGTATATTGTACTTGGCAGTAAGTCGAATTATCTGTAGATATGGTTTCACAACTCAATTCGTTTATCGCTCCTAGGAGTTCTCTTCCTTTGATCACCATTAGTTGAGAGTCTCAATTAATGGTTTCTTTTTGCAAAGTCACCATCAACAATAAATCTGTGACCTTATTAGAAGATATCTAGGTAGACAATGTAGTGCTGACGCATTTAATGTGGATTTTATTGTTTTAGATTATCGTTGTTACATTTATTCTGCCAAATTTCAGCTCTTTATGGTGTTCGGTTGCCTTGGTTCCCATTGTTACCTGGATGGTATATTGACCAAGAAACTTTCTATAATATTTTTAATCTTCTACTATTATTGGTAGAAGAAGTGGTGTTTTCTTTAATATTCTTTTGGTAATTCTGGTGGTAATTCTTTATTATTATACACATTGGTAATTTGGACCCTATATGCTTTCTTGTAACGAATTATTTCTTTAAATATTAGTCGCTTACGTCCGACGCACTACAATATACAACATTAAATAGATAATAGCGAGTTAGTAGCCTAGGTCGCTTGCGGCCGCGTCTGTACTATTTACTTCCTTAAACAGATGGAAGCAGAGGTCATTTGCGTCCGAGGCACTACGATGTACAACAGTAAAGACTATTATCGTATATACTTCAATCTAGAATGTTATAGAAATAACAGCCGAAATCACTTGCGGCCGAGGCTCTACTGCTTACTGCTTTAATGAAACGGTAGCCGATGCACCAGAGTGTATACCATTACAGAGATAATAGCTGATATACTTCAATCTACAATGTAATAGAGATACTAGCCGAGGTCACTTGCCAACAGGGCTATGCAATATTTTATTTATTTTATTTTACTTCCGAAATAACACGGTTGCCCCTAATTACAAATTTCAGAACTTAAGTCTACTAGTACATAATATAACCAATAAAAACAAGCAAAACAATCAAGATCAAGCATAAATGAAATGATTAATTAACCCATCACAGAACGCGCGAAGGATATGTTGAACCAACACTTTAAAAAATGAACATCACAAATTACAGAATTCAATAATGAATTCAAATATGCAGGCGCATAAAAACCAATATTTTCTAATATTAATGGAACGTTTATACTATTATTCAACATTTTATGTAGAAAACAGAGTGATATAATTTTTCTTCTGAGAGACAACCTGGTGATCTTAAATAATTTGCGTGCAAATTCGTACGATCTAAAACCAATGAAAACACGGAATTTTTTGTAATAGAGATACCTAATGAATTTATTTTGAATAGTTTCTATTAAATTAGAATAAAGAATTGACCGCATATTCCAGCTTAGATCGCACTAAAGAATTGAACAATAATTGCAGCGTCTGTAAGTTTGAGAAACTGTACCCATTTCTAATGACAAATCCTAAGAGACGCAAAGCTGTGGTTGCTGGGCTTTAATATGTTCAGCAAAGCATAAACCAGGCGAAAACAATACACCCATTAAAATGGAGCTTGTTGAGCCGACACCAATTAAGTCGGTCAGTTAAGTCATGTACAGTTGTGAATATCTTCAGATCGTCCGCAAAGAGTAAGCATCTGGTTGAGTTAATTACCAGGGGCAAATCATTTATAAATAACAAGAATAACAAAAGTCCCTGATTACTACCCTGCGGAACCCCTGAATCAATCCCCAACATATCTGACACTGCGTTTTTATAAGAGACGTAATAAAATCTGTTGGACAAATATGAAACAAAAAAACTAAGAGTAGAATAAGAAAACCCGTGTTGTACCAGCTTGTGCAGAAGCGTATCATGATCCACCCTATCGAATGCTTTTGCAAAATCCGATCCAATGCTTTGGAAACGTTATCCGTAAAGATAGTTAAGTTGGTCTCCACAGAGCGACCAGGAATAAATCCATGCTGATTAACATTCAACGAAAGTTTTACATGATTGAAAATCCTGCGATAGATCAATTGTTCGAAAAGTTTAGCAAAACAGGAGATTACCGATATAGGTCTATCATTTAATACATCGCCAGAGGGGCCAGATTTGTGAATCGGAGTTACTCTTGCGACCTTCCAAACATTTGGAAATGTATTCGTCACAAGTGATAAATTAAAAATTATGTATAATGGCATTACAAAGGCGTCTTTGCATCCCTTCACATTGTTAAAGACTTACAAGCCAAAGTATCAGAACTGTCCTCACTGATTTCGTTGTAATTTGGTACAGCATTAATAACATATTATATCTTGTATTGCTAATAAAGCCCGTATTTTGACTGTGGTTAGGGCAATTAACCTCAGCCACCCCGAAATGTCGTATAGAGTTTTATTTTACAGCATAAATCTTAATTTTGTTCGATTTTCATCAAAATGTTATTCAAAAATGTAACAGTTTTATCACATTATTCTTACGAAGAGGAATTTGCTTCCAGAACGTAAATTATGCAGGCAATGTGATACTGCTCAATATCACATAATAGCACAAAAAATGTCATGTCTTTTGTTTGTGAAAAAATCTATCAACATCATCCGATTCCGAAGGAAGATGAGTTTTATTATTGCCCTATGTTTCGCCCGAGAAATAATGTTTTTTTGAGATTGGGTACAAATATTTAAGATTAAGTTATACCTCTTTATAAGTTTCCAGGATGAAGAGGTTGTTGTATAAAATTTTCCTTGAACAATTAATTGCGGAAGGAAATTTTCTCGAACTTCATTTACAATTATCTATTTATGGTTAGAGCAATCAGTAAACTTTAGTTTGTTGAAAGAAGTTAACATAACAAGATAATAATTTAATAATCTCCATAATCAAAATACATTTAGGTTAATGGTTTCCTTGTAACTGAAACTTATTAATGTCATCATTAACATTTATAACTTGTATTTATGTAATAAGCGACAAAACAAGCATTTTATCCATTCGAACTGGCATGATTACGCAACATTTTTTTAAAAAACAAACTCCTTCAATAAGACGTTGCCGTAAATTTGAAACGGGATTTTCCACTTTCACCTCTCGGGATTCGCTTCTCGTGCAATTATTGGTCGAGCACGCAATTATGCATAATACACGTAAGTTTAAGCAGTCATAGGCGAAGACTTCGCCGGTTAAAATGTTTTATAGGAGAGGAATATCCCATGCGTTGTCCTAAGTTTATCTTTACCACTTTCACTCTACACCGAAGTTAGTCTTAATTAGACGTAACTCTACGTAGGAGTTCGTTCTTGTTAGAAAACAGCTGTTGTAGCGCTTTATAGAAGTTTCGTTTGGAACCAATTTATTCTGGGTTTCCGGGTACTACAAATGGAAATTGAGTAATGATCAAAACTGCTGTAAGCTTGATAAAATTAAACAACAACTTTAAAACTTTCTTAACTTCATAGTTTTGACTTTCAAAAACCATTTAAGAAAAAGAAATATTGAAATGATCTCCAACAATACGTAGTAAAAAGGATTAGAAATAGTTGTTCTCAAAGATAATTAGTGTCTTAAACCGAATGAGTCTTCAACTTTTCACTTTCCCTGGAACGTATTACGCAATAGCACGCGGGTAAAACCAACAATGAATGAGTAAAACTTCCCTCTTCCCGGTGTTTTCCATAAAACATAAAAAAGAAAACAATATTTAAAGATTGTGCGTTGTTCCCGCGAGTACGAGGAGAAAGCGCGCGTTTAATTCAAAATACATAATTATCACCATAGTTAAAGAACTAAATGCGAACGAATCGATTCGCAAAAGAAATATTATAATTGAATCGGTATTAAATCGATATAAGTAATAGTAGATGCATTGAAAATCTTAATGGTGCTGTAAATAAGAGTGTACGCAATATATTGGAATATAATTACACTTTATCAAAGTGAAAGTAAGCCAAACTAACATAAAATTTATTGTAATGTATTTAAGATTGATTAATGAATAGCTTATTATTACTATCGTTATTGATGCAATATATTTCAATTTTTAACCTTTTAGAGCACCGCAATTGGTTCTACAGAGTATTTTGCAGTGGAGGTGTTGATCCTGAAGACATAAACAATCCTTTAGACAACAAAGAACACGGTTTCATGGTATTCTTCAGAGATTCCTTTGCAAAGTTCCTCAACAACGGACTAGTCAAAACGCTAATAATTTTCATCTTCGGTTTCTACCTCCTTGGTGCTTTCTATGGAGTTACTAAAATTGAAGAAGGATTGGAACGAAGAAAAGTTGCCAAAAAAGATTCCTACGCTATCGAATTTTTCGATCGAGAAGACGATTATTATAGAGAATTTCCTTATAGGTAATTATAACAAATATAATTTCAAACAATTTATGATCCATAATAAATGTTATGTTTTATTATAGGATTCAAGTTATTGTTGATGGCGAATACGATTATTCTGATCCCCACGTACAATTTATGGTGGAAAATTTGACGCAAACGTTTGAAAATACTTCCTACATTTCTAATCCGCTTTATACCGAGTCTTGGTTAAGAAGTTTTTTGCAGTACATTAACGCCAACGCAGAATACTTAAATGTGTCGATAAATACACCTACGGAGTTTATAAAAGTCTTAAAAGAGGTAAGGAGATATTTACTTGATCAAATTGTAGTTTTTATGGGTTGTGGAAAATCATTGATACTATTTATTTATTTATATTTTCTCTAAATTTCCTTGTTTATGTCTAAATATTATTGTAAGTCTTTTGACTGGTGTTAAAAAGTGTAGCAAATCTAAATTCTATGCATGACAACGCAGGCAGAAAGCAATCTAAGTCTAAATCAAGCTAGCCATAAAATTGATACAGTGATTGGATTGGGTCTAAAGCAATTCAACAAAACCACAAATCAAGCTTAGCCAACCTCAAACCAATCTAACTTAAATTCAAAGCAAACTAATCTTATCCCAAAGTCAACCCAAACTCTTTTTTTTTATTTTTTTTTTAACGAGGTCGGGTAAAATCTGCTAAAGAGACATCCGGCCTGGGATGTTGGATCTTGAAACCCCCCTCCGCATGTTCTCTCTCCAGCGTCTCCCCTCTTTCTTTAGAAGTTACCACCTCTCCCATGCTGCTCCATCCCTCTCTGCTACCAACCATTATCAGCATGCTGTTTTCTGGAGTCATCCTTGTTCCCATGTTGATATTGGCAAGTTCTCTGTGTCTGCTCCATTTCGGGAATTGGTGGAAAGTATGCTCCGCGTCGTCGTACGCTTCGCAGTACACGTAATTTTCATTTGGAGCTTTCTTGTATTTATATAAATAGGCCTTATAACATCCATGCCCTGACATAAACTGGCTTGAATGGTAATTAATACCTCCCCATTTTCGATTGACCCAGAGTTCAATATCCGTTAGGAGCCTCTTTGTCCATTTTTCCTTCCCCGTATCCTTCTTCCACCTATTTCTCCACTCGTCTAAGTTACGTTTCTTGTGATCCCCTTCTTCCTTAGATATGCCTCGATTTAGAATGGAAATGTCTACTGGTACTTCATCTCCCAGCACTTATAATACCTCCACGCATACCATCCTATATGCACTTGTGACTCTGATTAATATTGTTCGCTGTAGTTTTAATAGTTTGGTGAGATATTGTTTTATCTTAATGGCAGCAGTTTCCTCTTTTCTGCGCTAGGCCTATATGTGGATCCCATGACCCTTTGCAGAGCTCTTGTTGTCCTAGATGCCTTGTCAGACCCGTATTATATATGTTCTTTCCATCGCAGTTCCTTGCCAATTATGACCCCCAGATATTTTAGCTCTTGGCCGGTTCTGATTTCGCAGTTTCTGACCTTGAAGACAGTTTCCCTCTTCGTTTTCCTACTGCGTAATAGTACTGCCTCAATTTTTTCAGGGGCCATTTCTATCCCCATCTTCAAATCAATCACTCTAAGTGACTCTGTCACTCTCGTTTCTAACTCTTCCAGGCTCCATCCGGTCACCAATACAGCCAAATCGTCTGCATACGCTATAACTTTGGTTGGGGTTTCATAGCACTCCTCCTCCCTCTCTCTGATCCACTGCAACAGCTCATCGAAAAATACGTTCCACAGTAACGGTCCAAGAATCGATCCCTGTGGTACTCCTCTAGTGATCTGATAGTCTTTACCATCGTAAATTACGTGTCTGTCATACAGGTAATCTTTGATTATATTAATAAGTTGTGCCGCTACCCCTCTACGCTGTAGAGCCTCTATAATTCCCTCTCAAGGCGTTGACCGAAACGCATTTTTCACATCAGTTGCTATCAGTGCGCATATCTGCTTTTTTCCACCTCTGAACTTGTCAACCTTTCCAACCTTACTAATAACCCTCTTTATGGCATCCACGGTTAACTTTCCCTTGGTGAAACCATACTGGTTTTCGGATAACCCACCTCTCTGCTGCAATTCTTCCAAGAGTCTGTCCCTCACCGCACTTTCGTACAACTTTCCATAGCTGTTTAAGAGGCGCAGGGGGCGATATTTTGTTTTTTCTTTGCCTGGTTTGGTTATAAGTACCAGCCTTCCTATTTTCCAATCCTTAGGAAAACAGCAGCCCCCCATTAATTTATTAAATAGTTTTGCAATCTCGTGCGCTCCCACTTCTACTACGTCTTTAACCATTTCCGGGGTTATTTTGTCCAACGCTAAAGTTATTCTATCATAAAGTAATTCAGTTCCAAAGTAACTCAACTCATTGTAATTTAATGTTGACATAGTGGTTGGGATGGGTCCAAAGTAAACTAAACAAATCACTAACCAAGCTTAGCCAACCTCAAACCAATCTAACTTAATTTCAAAGCAAACTAATTTTATCCCATAGTCAACCCAAACTCAAAACGTGGCAACCCAACTTATAGTTACCAAATCTAACCCTAAAGCAACTTAACTGCAAAGCAATTCACCTCTAAATAAAGCTAGCCCAACCATAAAGGATCATATCACAACCAGAAAGTAATCCAACTCCTAAACTAGGTAATCAGCGCAAAAGCGCATACCATAAAGTAATTCAGCTCCAAAGTAACTCAACTCATTGTAATTTAATGTTGACATAGTGGTTGGGATGGGTCTAAAGCACTCTAAACAAAGCACAAAGCAAACTTAGCCAATCTCAAACCATAACATAGAAACCCAAACTTTTTTGGCGCAGAGGAGGGGAATTACTTTACACAGCCTAGTCTACTGTTGGTGCCTAAGATCTTCGAATGAAAACTTCAATGTTTCGGCCGGGAATATAGGATTACTCACTAAACCCTTTCACAGTGTTCAATTTACACAATCACCACGGTCGCCACCGATGTTCGCTCCTTCCAGTTTCTGCACACTTAGTTACCGCACAAATCCATTATGAAATAAAAGGAATCTTATTACTTTTTGATTCTTCAAATAACAATCAACGTACCTGCATAAGGAAGATACAGCCCCACCAATCTCGCCTTATTCACCCATCTCCGATTATTCCCATTTGGTTCAGTTTCGTTTGATTCTTGCGTAATGGATCGGAAGTCTCTTTGGTGTTGTATTATAAAATCAGAGAAGTTCACTTAATTTAACACCTATAAACACTTTTGTGGTTACTAGGATGAGGAGATTAGACCCACCTCCAACCCTTGACGTATTGTAGCGTTTGACCCATCCATTTCCCTCTCATACCCGCCCTTCATGTTACATTTCATGTCATGGCTTTCCAGTTGGGCTCAGACTTGAGCATCAACTTTCCAATAATTCCTGCGTTCGGTGGTTCTCCGCAAACTTTCCGGCACTTTTCCCTATCACTATCGAATTTTGCACAATGAAATAGTGTGAGCTCCACTCGATGCACCTGCTCCTACACAAAAAAAAGAGTCTTTTTTGTGAGAATTGACACAAGAGAATTGTCATGTTAGCAAACTTCTGGTAAAAATAAGTGATCAAAGGCTAAATTATTATCTATAATGATAAATGATTTCAGAACAAGCAGGCTTTGTTAAAGGTAGAGGAATCAGAGATCAGATATTCAATATCCGACAACTAATAGAATAATCATGAGAATTTAACACCCCAATGCCAATATGCTTTACCAAGTCCTTAAGCACTTTGTAAGAGAGGTGCTTATCGGTGACAAGAAGCTAAATAACCTCTGCTACGCTGACGACACAAGTATACTACCCAAGAGTGATATCGATTTGACAGAAATGTTCCAATTAATTAGAAAAAAAGCCACCCACTGGTGCTGGAAATCTCGATAAACTAAACTATAAATAATAGGCCGAAGTAATACGCTCAAAATACAACACCTCCTGCCACAAATCCAAACCGTCCCTGAGTTTGTTTATCTTGGATCATTAATCTTTAATCCCTAGTAAGGTTACTTGTGAGTACAATCATAGACAATTACCACTTCAGACAGACACAAAATTTTGAGATGTGGTACTGGAAATGGATGTTGCGCATTCCCTGTGTAGCAAGAAGAACTAGTGCATCAATTTTTAATGATCATCGTTTTTGCGATTATCCACGCAGAATTGGCCAGTATTTTGATTATGTAGTACGACGGGACAAAACAATTCTAAAAAAATTAGTAGTTTAGGGCAAGGTCTGCGGTAAACGCCCTAGAGGCAGGCCTTCTAGATGGCTAGACCAAATTAAGAGAATCATTGAGAAGCTACAAACAATATTGAGAAACGCTGAAGGTCGATTCATGAGAAAAGAAATCAATCAGAAATGAGGACCAACTTAATGAATCCAAAATTATGCTTTCTGTTTCTGTTTACTTTTATTCTCTTCTTCGTCTACCACCAAACTAGTAATGATAATAAGTTCTTCTTCTTTATTCATGTTAGTTATTAGCGATACATTTATACAGGACAGGGTAGTCAAACCGCACTATTTAAAAGTATTAAAAAAGTATTATAATACTGATTAAAATGGCGACCATCATTTTGCACACATTGTCTATGTCTATCACGGAAATTATCACTGACACGTCGTAGAATCGCTGGCGTTATTGCACGAATTTCATCTTCAATCCGCACTATTAAGTCTCGTATTGTTGCCGGGTATACCTCATACACCTTAAACTTAAGATATCTCCATAAAAAATAGTCACAAGAACTCTATTCTGGCGATCTTGTAGGTATAGGAAAAAATTCTCTAAGAAAGTTCTATGCAACCCTAGCTGTGTGACAAGTTGCTCCATCTTGTTGGAAATGAGTATTCTCATTTAGAAGCATCCGAACATATCGCGCTGATGTCACGGTAACTGCATGGGCATCATCATTCTCAAAGAAGTATAAGCCAATTAAGGTATACGAAGACATCGCACACCAAACTGTAACTTTGGCCAAATGGAAAGGTGATTCGTGAAATTGATGGCAGTTTTCAGTGGCCTAATAGCGAAAATTATGTTTATTAACATTTCCGCTCAGGTGGAAATGAGCTTCATAACTAATCCATAAATTATCTATGAGCTGTGGGTTGTTGTCAAACATCTGTAGCAATCGCTCACAAAAACCTAAGACGAATAGGATAATCTCGGGGTGTTAAAGCTTGAACTATTTAAATCTTGTACACTGTGTTAATTAATTATCGTAACCCACGTGACCTGTGTAATATTGGCTGCCTATCTCAATATGTAGTAGTAGCTTTAATAATTTTAAATTAGTAACCAGATGTTGACAGCTGATCGAACGTTATTTTGTGATTGTCGTATGCTTTGTGAGTTTATTTCTTACAAAGCTGCATGCAGCAATTCAACCAACGTTTTCCAAGCATTGACGTTGATTATGACTCTTTTAAGCATAGGAAACATGTGGTTGTAACTAACTAATTGTCGCCATCGTTTTTAGGAACTTTCGTCGCGTTGCAATACCAATACTGTGATATTGGTTGCATATTTTCGATGATGACGTCGGGTACGATAATTAATTAACACACTGTAGGGTAGGTGTATATCATTATGTAACATTCTTCTTATTGATCTAGTCGAAAGTCTCAGACCAACGCTATGATCCTTTGCAGATCTTTGAGGAATTCTTACATTTACAAATTAAATGTTTGTTTAATAATACTTTTTTAATACTTTACAGAGACATGTAAAGTAGTTGGTAATGAAATAAATATTTGTGCTGATCATTCGAAAAAATGATAATTCCGTAAGGATTGGACACGGTCTATTAAATAATTGCGATTTGTATGATTCTTTAATATTATTTTAATTTTTAGTATTACTTTTTTGTTATAAGATTTTTTGTTCAATCCATAAAATCTATTTGTACATTTAAATTAAATGCTTTATCTCATTTAATAATAAATTTCAGCATTGGCTTTATCCGGCAAGTGCATTTTCTTTAGACGTCAAGTTCAATGAAGCCGGCGACAAGATAATTGGAATGAGATTTTTGATCCAAGCCGTTAACATATCCGGCACCGAACACGAAAAGGAAATGGTTAGAGCAATAAGACAACTCTGTAAGGATTCTCCTTTAAACGTTACTGTTTTTCATCCTTATTTTGTCTTCTTTGATCAGGTATGTTATATACATTTTATAAAAAATTATTCTTAACTCTAATTTTATTTAATTTTTTTTTAGTTTGAATTAGTTCGTCCACTTTCCATTCAAAACATGATCTTAGGAGCGATTGTAATGATGATAATTTCATTTTTATTCATTCCAAACATTCTTTGTTCCATCTGGGTGGCTTTTAGTATAATTTCAATTGAAACTGGAGTAATCGGTTACATGGCTTTATGGAAAGTAAATTTGGATTCGATTTCGATGATTAATTTAATAATGTGTATAGGATTCAGCGTTGATTTTACCGCTCACATTTGCTACGCTTACATGTCATCGAAAGCAAAACACCCAGATGAAAGAGTTAAAGAGTGCCTTTACGCTTTGGGGCTTCCAATTTTTCAAGGATCTGTTAGCACAATTTTAGGAATGGTTGCGTTATTATTAGCTGATAATTACATATTTTCGGTTTTCTTTAAAATGGTGTTTTTGGTAGTTTTTTGTGGAGCGATGCATGGATTATTTCTACTTCCGGTTTTATTGTCGTTATTTGGACCGGGTGCTTGTAGTAGAAGTAATAAATCAGAGAAAGAACTTCCATCGATAGATAGCAACCTTCCAAGGCCGTATTATATTCCACATCCGCAATTAACTTTAAACCCGATGCATTTAACGTCGAATTTAAAACTCCAAAATTTGCCGGAAGTTAAAAAAGAAAGGCGCTCCCGAGAATTGGATAAAGATTTAGGTTTGGGAACCTCGGAAGAAAATTCTAGCGAATCCAGTTCGAATAGATCTAATAATAACAATAAGAACGCTGTGCAAGAAGAAGAAATGATCGAAAGGATTTATAAGGAAAGATGGAGGAGAAACTCTTTGTCTGATTACCCTCAATGCGAATTTCATTCATCGCAAGTTTTGGATCTTTACACTCCAGATTGGGAAAACACCCGCGAAAGAAATATATCGCAATATCGAAGCCATCATTACCAAAAACCACCACATAAAATTACCCCCGCTGATTATAGACGGAGGTATTCGCCACCTGAACACGTTTATTATCGAAATCCAAATTTAGTTCGATCAAATTCTTATCAAAACCTAAATCCATCGTTTATTAAGGAATTACGATTTCCTTGACGAATAAAATAATTTTTAGTAGTTGGTTATAGAAATTGAGTCTTTTATCGTATTTGTTTGGGATTAGTAAAACTAGAGTAATAAATAAAGAAAAGAAGAAGACAGTTTAGTGATTAAAAAACATATTTTTGTAATAATGCAACATTATCAGTGATAAAATTTGAAGTGCTAAAGAACATTTACGGGTCGCTCTGCTAAGAAACGTGCCTTAGTGAAAAAAAGGTGTTAATTTTTCAATCGTGTTTAAGAATAAAAATGTCTCAAATATTTTTATTTAAGTTATTAATGTGTAGAGAAAATGAATACCTATTTTAGTTTTTGATAAAATTTATTATAACTCGATTCGATTTACGATTGCGATAATATAGGAATTATTTGTCATGTTTATAGAAAATCAATAAAGATGTGGCAAAAAATTTTCACAAAATACCTTCATTTAAAACCCTTCCTTACATCATTTTGGGCAGCGTTGTTAAGATTATTTAGAACTTATTTAAAATAATTTTTTTAACACCTTTCAAAACAACACAATAACAGATATGATAAATACAGAATAAATAATTCAAATTCAAATTTGTTGTTGTAATAGTCCTTTACTGCAAAACGTCACATTCATATAATAGTTATTTATATTACAAGTGGGCTAGAAACATAATTACTGTACGAGTGTGGAGAATTGCACACGAGTACTGTAATTATGTACAGGGTGGGCAAATTTGGGTGTTATTATAGGCTATCTCAGAAACTATAAGAGATACGAAAAAAGTAGGTGCCATGTCCCGGTCTCTTTTTTCGAGACTAACCCCATCCCGCAAACACCAAACCTCTATCTTCTTTTGTTTTTAAGTTATAGCCAAAAAGTCAAATTTTCGTGATTTCAAAAAATGCTCATATTTCGTTTATTTTTGAAATTAGAGAAAT